TAAGCCTTGAAGGGCAAATACTTAATTTAATTCATGATGCATATATTTCAACAAATATAGCATACAATTCAATAAATATAATTTAATAATTCTTATAATGCATACATTTTAATTATTATGACCATATTAATTACATAAAGGTAATATCTGCACTGGATAAAATATTTAGCACAGCCTTAAATGTTAAGCTTGAACAAGTTAAAATATTCATCCTAAAACATGAAATAAATGTTATAGAAAGCACAAATGTAATTTTCTCAAGCATCAACATATTATTACAGCACCAATTTATTTATTTTGATTGTATTTTTTGAAAGGGAATGCTTCAACATATGATCTACCAGATAGAACCTTATAATTCCAAGTGAAAAATGACTATTCAGAATGACAAGGTTCTATCTGCATTTATCGTGTTTTTTTACTCCAATTTGGAAATGTAAGAGAACTTTGATAATTTACATTTAGAAAACCCTTAGGGTCTCTATCATGTTAATGTGTGAAAAATAACTTTTACACACATATTGTTTGCTATATGGATTGCAAAAACTTTGAAGCTCAGTATCTCAAAATCATTCAGAACGCAGATAGAACCTTATAATTCTTTTTTTATATACTTTATTTTTATTTCTCTATTTTAAGGGGGAAAAAAACAAGGGAAACACAAATAATGCATTTAAAAAATAAAATAATTGAAAAAATACAATAAAACACTAGAAATTAAATGAACAGTTGACAGGTCACATATTTCCTTACAGGTCACGTGAATAAATACATTTATAAATCAGATTACACTGTGTAAAGGCATAAGTACAATCCATTTCTCCCAATATTGCAGGTATTTGTCCATTAGTAGTTTTAAAGAAAGTCATCCTCTCCATATTTTGAACATTAGATATGATATCCAACCGTTCAGATTTTGTGGGGGGTTAGAACCTTATAATTCTAAGGTGACGAAATGTCCTATTAGGTAAATGTGCAATTATTAACTTTGACACCGGTGAGGTAGAATGTAAATGTCATTTTAAAATGCCTTTAACATTATTCATGAATTTATAAATATATATTGCAACGTCAGAAACATAATAAGGTCATCTCCAAGTATTGCATGATACATGCACACACACATTGTCGATATATTGATTATTATGACAGGTTTACGTGTGTTCTATTTGAAGAACCAATGAATAAGCAACTTTTTAGAGCCTATTGTTTGCATTGAGGTAAAGTTGGCTTTATATTCAGATTATTCACACATTTGTTCATTCAGCGGTCCCTATATTGTTTACCATGCTAATGTGAATATTGGGTCTGAAATCGCATTTGAGTATGACTTCAAAACAACATCAACACTATTTAATTGACCGTGAACAATGTTGTACTTTGATAATCACTGGCTGCTTATATTTATTAATGCTAATATTTGCTAAATTATAATCAGGAGAGCATCTGAAGGTCCGGATATTAAACCAACTTTACCTCAATATATTCTGCTCCTGTAGTGAAGTGATGATGTTGTTTGCTGTCTGTGTTGATGGTGTTTTTGTGTGTGAAGGTGGAGGAGGCTGAGCAGGTGTATCTGCTGATGAAAGAGGAGTACAGGATCTCGCGCAACGTGCGTCTGTCCTGGTTCCTCAGCCGACTCAATCAGGTTATTCAGCCCAGTCCACGGTCTGAGCTGGTGAGAGACGCAGTATTTACTCTGTTTTGATAGTCAGCTCATGGGGTTTGCAGTGATGTAACCCTGATGTTGATAAAATCTGAATAAATTTGACCACACTGAATCAAACATGAATAAATTAACAGATTCAGCTTTAGATAATGTTGTTTGAATTATTAAGTATTCTCTTCAGGTCACATAAAGGTCTCTGATGTTTGTTTTGTTTCTGAATAAATCAGTTGTTATGAGTTAATCATTTGAATGAATTGAAATATTCAATTAATCTTTTAGACAGAAACTAAGTGCTATAGAGATTTAAGTGTCATATACAGTTGAAAACAACATTATTAGACTTGTAAAAGTATAACTGTTTTTCAAATACTTCCAAATGGCTGTTTAACAGAGCAAGGAGGATTTCCTGTTATATATTTAGTTTGACTTCTTTTAGTTTGGCTGGAATAAAAACTTATTTAAGAAATGTGAATACTTCTAAAGCCAATACAATTATCCCTTTTCTCATTATTTTTATTTTTATTATTATTATTGTTATTATTATTATTATTATTATTGTTATTATTAGTATATATATATTTTTAATTTACTGGTTACAGAGCAAACCACTGTTGTCCAGAGATTTGCCTAATTTACCTAGTTCAGCCTTTAAATTGCACTTTAAGTACCTTGTCAAATTTCTAGTAAAATATTATCTGCTGTCATCAAAACAAAGACAAAAAGTTATTAGAAATTAGTTATTAAAACTGTTAATTTTTTGTAAATGTGTTGAAATAAAATGTTCTCTCTAAGCAACACTATACAGGGTTCATACGGTCATGGAAAACCTGGAAAAGTCATGGAATTTTGACATGGCTTTTTCCAGGCCTGGAAAAGTTTTGGAAAAACAGAAAAACCTACAAGGTTTTGGAAAAGTCTTGGAAATTACATTTAGCAGACGTTTTTGTCTATAGTGACTTAAGCTGCGGTCACACTAGAGCTTTACTTCTGAAATTCTGTCTTACGGTGCTGTAAAAATAGGTGGTATTAAACATTAATAAAAGTGAGCGATTGCTCCATATTGAACATTTTTCTTTTGTTCTAACGCAATCACCAGATGCGATTTCACAGTTAAGAATTCACAAAGCTTGAACTTTCGAATGCAGTGAAATGCGAAACTTGTCGCACATGCTTGCGTTTCTGGTCTGCTGCATTTGCATGGCTATGAATGGAAGTCTATGGAGCGAAAAGTGCAGTGTGATCACAGCTTTACAATACATGTAGTTTTACTTTTTATTACTAGTTAAACAAACTATTAGGATTATCTAAAATTAGTTTGACACACATCTGTATACTGGAATAGAGGTTAGTTGTTTTTACTTAATTTCTTGACCAAAAAAAACATGGTCTCACATCGTTAGAGCTGTGTAAGCATCATCTATTTTACATAGATATAAAAATAAATTGAAACTAAAGAGATTGTTGCGTGTTTTATGATATGCTGTAATAAATTTAAACATGCATTGTTTTTCTTATGATTTACCACATATGCGTAGACATTACATGAAGCATTAGGTCATGAAAATTGACTTGAAAGTCCTGGAAAAGTCATGGAATTTTCGTAGTGAAAATGTGTATGAACACTGACTATAGTGTACATAAAGTATTTGAAATATAATAATAACACAGGAAGGCTAATAACTTTGTCTTCAACTGTATATTTATCTATGATAGCAGACCTAAAACACTTTAAATAAAAAAAAATTAATTGTAGTTATACAAAAACATGTAAAAGTATGCATTTGTATGTGTACATATATATATATATATATATATATATATATATATATATATATATATATATATATATATATATATATATATATATATATATATATATATATATATATATATATATATATATATATATATATATATATATATATATATATATATATATATATATATATATATATATATATATATATATATATATATATATATATATATATATATATATATATATATATATATATATATATATATATATATATATATATATATATATATATATATATATATATATATATATATGTATGTATATATATATATATATATATATATATATATATATATATGTATATATATATATATATATATATATATACATATAGATATATATAGATATATATATATATATATATATATCT